CTCTTTATCTGCACACAGTTTCCAGGTCAAATTAAGCCCATGCTTTCTGTTTTGTAGGACATCACGTTCAAGCTGACAGAGATTCATTCATTCAAGAGGATCTTTGCATGCTTTGGATTTTGTGTTTGGCATAGATGAAGTTCACAAGCGGTCGAACTGATTTACCACTGAGGAAATGATAGGTAATAGTTAAACCTTAAAACTGATTTCTTTTATCCAATCTTTAAGCTATTAAAAGAGTCAGATGACTTAACTAAGCATAGACCTGCTGCTGGTCATTGTTTCTTTGTCATTTAAGTGATGCAGATATTAAATTCCTAATTTGATGACGTGACAACAGGTTATTGTTCCTTGTTAGTTTTCAGTTTCAGAGCTGTTGGACTCGACCTGAAACAGTGATTTAAATAAAACAAAACAAACAGCAACAGCACAAAAGCTTCTCAGAGGATGTAAGATAAAACTGAAAATGGGGCCTGAACTCTTTATCGATTCAGTTGAACATTTTTAAACTCGTTTTGTTATCAGAACAGGAATAAAACCAAAAAAAACTGACTACACAGCTGAGAAAGGCCACATGTTAACTGGGTTACTCTCGATACTGATGACGGTTTTTCTTGTAATGCTTTAACTCACTTTTTAATTTATCCAGTCGCAGTACACCACTTTGCAGTGACACAAGTCACATTTAGTTTGTGTTATGTAATTGCCAATTGTGACCACAGGGAGGCACTGTGTGACAAAACTGCTTTGAAAAAATGACAAAGCCGTAAACTTCTCTGATTCTTCTCTCTTCTTGTTTTATGAGAAAGCAGATCTATTTCTGACTCCAGTCTAAAAATAGTCAGATCACCCAAGAAGTCTACTTTTAATTCTTTTCCTGGTTTTACTTGTTAGGCAAGTCACAGCAAAGAACTCCTGATATTTTAATGTGATATCATGTTTCATCTTGTTGGCTGTTTGTCTGCGGTGAGCTGTATTCCTATATGCCCTCCTTCCTTATCCCAGATTTAATGTAAACCCAGAGAGTTATCAGCTGTTTAAGAATCTCATTGTTTGTA